CAGGGTTGAAAACCTTGAAGATCTTTCATGGCAGAGCAGAGATCTGATCTTTTGGACAGTGGAGAGCTCTGAAGTTTCACAAGTCATATGTGAATGCTGGATCCATCTCCAAATTTTCATTAAATACTTAGGTGTTTGAACCATGCGTATTGGTTCAGGCACAACTTTTAGGTTACTTATAAAAATTCTTGATCTTGAGTATTGCTATAATAGTCTATTTTCAGTCTGGAATTCAGGATATGAAGTGTTTCTGACTTTAATTTCCGAGGTGTAGCATCAGTCAACAGAGATACATTTTATATGGGAGGTAACAATGGTTCTACTAACAGCATGGAAAACAGTATCTGCTCAGTGAAAGACCATCTGAACATCTCTTAGTATTACCATATTCGTATGTTTTTTTCTCTTTCCTACTCAGGCCTCACACCCATCTATTTAAGGCAATTAAAACTCCTTCTGACTTCGGTGAGATCTGGGCCATGCGTTTCTTACTTAGTGATATGAGCAGTGTAGTTTGTAGCAACAAGAAGTATACAGAGAATGGAAGAGTTGGCACAACATGCCTTCTGCCACCCCATAAATATTTGCAAAATAGGTTGGGTTTTCTGAATGGAAGGGTGAGAAGATTAGAACTGAGACCCTGGGAGCTCTGATGCGTGAGTTGGGTAGAACCCAACACCTCTTCACCAAATGGGTTCTTGTATGTGCATTCTGCAGTGGAAAATCATTCCACCAACTGCCCAGGTTGAAGATTTTGGTTGTAATTCAGTGCAAGATGCATTGTATTACACACACGGTTCTGTGTTTACATATATGATGTGTATCAGGTCAACAGGTGGTGTACATATTCAGCATCTTGCAAGGCTGAGTCTGAGTCTTTAAGAATATCTATGCTACTGGACTAGCTCAGTTACTGGAAAGAATTGAGAAAAGGTAGCACTAAGCTCATTGCAGGTGCATTTTTCCTGCTTCTTAAGTGAGTTTTGCAGTGCAGTGAGTTCTGCACTTTCCTAACCAGGCTCCTTCCAGGATCTAAAATAGCTGCTTCAAAGATACAGGTATTACATAGTCATGCTGCCGTCTACTGTGCAGACGTAGCCTCATTTATTTTTAGATGATATTGTCAGACCACTATTGTGAGATCCCTGATCTGGTCCACCCTTGTATTTAGTCCAGCTATGTATATAGGTACCACCTGGTGTTTTGTTGTTATTTCAATATCTAAAGAACAATGAAAAGTACATCAGAAAAGTGGTTTTAATTTGATGCAGAAAAATCATAGTACCAAAGGAGCTTAAACTTAAATGTGTTACTAATCATGAACGTTCTTGGAAGCCAGTGTGTTTAGTTGGGGCAGCAAGCTTAAAAAATACTAGAGCCAGATGGGCTGATTCATACATCAACGTGCAGCCTTATCTGCTGAGAAATCAAACCAGCAAGTGGAATATGGTAACCCTTTCTAAATCCTGCAGTTGTGCATTTTTTCTTCTGATGTAAGCTTCCCCCATCTTAGATTTACATATTCCAGAGCGTACTCAGAAATTTTAGATCTTTAACTAGACTCTAAATGCTTTGATTTGCAATTGTTCCATGTAGAAATGATACAATCTACAATAAATGTTCCATAAGAGACAGCTGTAGCTAAATGCTTGGGGAGCTTGTACATGAAGTCTATTTTCATGACAGGAGGCAGGAGGCCTGAAGTCCACTCTAGCTCAAGAGCCAATTCAGCTCTAAGAATGATGGGGAATTCTCTCCCTGACTCTTATAAATCACCTGTCCTCTGAGCATCCTGAGGTGGGAAGGAAGGAGTTCAAGCTCGGAAGCACGTGATGGCCTTCTGGATCTCACTAATGTGTAAAAAAGAGTCGCAATGAATGTGAACCTTTTTGGTTACATATGTGTGATGGTAAGAATCTAATTTACCCAGTAAAATACTTTTCAGAGCTGCAAAAGGCAGAAATATATAATGCCATATAAGACACAAAGTCTGGATTTTGCCAATGATAGAAAGAATAGGTTTAAAAAAACAAAAAAAAAGTTAGCAGTGAACCTGTGGTAGAAGCAGGTAGGATTGAACCACTGGTGAAAAAGTAGAAGATGCTTCATAACATATGTCTGACAACTACTTAAGGTTCGTGGTGGCTGGTGCCAGGGAGACAGGATACAAACACTGCATCTCTTTGTGTCCACAAGTCCAGTGTCACTATGGATGCAGGAGACATTAATTCCAAGGGGAGAGCAGTGCCAACTTTTCTCAAAGGAATCCCTTCAACAGCTCCTCCACTTAGGTAGTTATGAAGTTCAGTTTCCAATGAAAGTTGCTGCCTCCTGGCATTACCTCTGCTTCATTAAATAAGGAGGCAGTTATTTGGGCAGTTACACTCCACAAGGCCTGCAGAAAGGCAGGAGGAAGAGCCCGAAGTCACTGTGACTAGCACTACTCATTTCTGAAATGCAGCTTGAGAAACTGCGGGGAAACATACGTGACAGAATATAATGAGCACTTATGAGAGTAATTCGAATGGATGGCTAATGGCCAGAGCTCTGGCACGTTCCATTAAAAAATAACCAGGGAAACCAGAGAAGTGAATTTCCTGCATATCATGGGATGCTGCACAAAAGACATTGTATGCCAGACAGATAGGAATGGAAAGCTGGCAAAAGATGTGCAAGAATGCTTGAGATTCCTATTCAGATCGGGCATGAACATTACCACTGAAGACAGAGCACCAAATATGACATGCATAGTCACTGCAGAAAGCAGAATGCAAATAACCCCCAAAATCACAGGACATTCCTGGTCCTCTGTTGCCTAACATTGGTGCGAATCTATCTGAATTACAGATTCAATTAGGGAAAAAATAAACCTTAGTGGGACTCTCATTTTTAATGCGATGCTGCCCAGCTAGCAATTTAATGGCCCCCATATGTAGGAGGTAGACTACAGATAGACTGTAGGAGCAGTTCAGAGAAGATAACGGATCACAGTTCAGGAAAGGCTCATTCTGGTAATTTTCTGAATTTATCAGTTTAAACACACAGTACAAAATTCTAGCTGAAGACTGTGAATAGCAAGAACTTAATCTGGTAAGAAGGACTTGAGAGTTTACAGCGGCCCTTACTCTTCCTTGCTCGGTCATTGTAGAATGTTTTAAAATCTTGATAGGTATCACGACATTTACAGCCTCATGAACAGAAAAAAGCCCAAAAGTTCACTGCCAAAGAGCACCTGAAGCAAGACTAGTCAGTCTAGAAGCATTTATGTTTCTATACTAAATACTGTACAGCGATATTAAAAAAAAAGAAAGAAAAAGTTCCTGACCTCCAATACCAATTACATACTGAGAGTGGGATTTCTGTGATTTAACTTATGCTGTCAAAAAAGTAAGCATCTAGTGTAAGCTATCTGCCTGTGCTCCCTCAATAATCAGTGGAGAGAGACAGGCATCTCCAGGGAAAAATTCTTCTCATTCTGGGTAACAGGATGAATCACCCTCTGGGGACAGCATGTTTCCAGCAGCTATAAAGGGTATCTAGATGATTCCCTTGCCAACTGAAGCTTGGATTCGCTGGAAAAACAGAACAGATTTTGGGCACACCAGCACACCAGTCCTTCTTTTGATCTGAAACCAGAAAAGGGGTTCATGTTCCCAGCATCTTACCACTTGATCTAACAGTACTAGTTGGCCAAAAAAAGCATACTACCTTACAAACTTTCTTTCCTACATATTAGACCATCATAGAAAACACTCGTACCATCAGCTAGATGCCAAAGTGTTAGCTCTAAAGTTGAATGGGATGAATCTCATCCCAGGACACAAGAAGAGTGGCGTCATGGCATTAGGTGAGTTACGCACTTGAAATGCTTCTTCCTCACTGCTGATTAAAAAAGGATTCTAGATACCTGGATCAGACACTGATATACACATCCGATAGACAGATGTATGTAATTCTCAGGACAGATGAATCCTACTTTTTGAAGTGTTGGGTGCCGTTTATTCTCCAGTAAGTGCAATGAACGCACTTCAATCCCAGCTGAACGGCAAACTGGCTTGTGCACTCGTGTCCCTCCACGGCTGCGTGCTGCCTCCTGCTCACCGGTTTTGGGCAGGGAACAGCTGTTTTCCTCAGACAATGAAACTCTCTGGAGAAAGTCAAATAACACCCCTTTCTATGATGCTGTATGAATACTCTTTTATAAGTGGAAATGAGGGGTGCCACTAAGACAGACATTTAGGGAAAAGCTCCAGTCAAATCTACCAGCCATTAGGCCATGTCGGGAATGTTGTAACAGCCTCGTGAAAGATCCTGCTTGGTCTCTTTCATACAGTGGCTCTTAATAATAAGCATATAATAAATGTACAGTCTGGAGGAATTTACTATACAGTATCCAATTGGATTTATATAGTCATAAACTTCTACAGCACTGCTTCTATGATTTACAACAGTCTCTACTAATTATGAAGCTATGCCTGGATTTGAGATGTAAAAGGCAAATGTTACCAGACTGGCTGCACAGCAATACTATACAAATGCACATTTGCCACAGCGATTTTGAATTGCTTGTTAACATAGAACCATTGCAAATAACCATGTATTTTAGCCTGCTCTTATGAAAAGCACCAAAAGCAGAAACCTAGGAAGTTTGCAGGATGGGCTTTTATTGTGATGAAGTGTAGAGATAAGGGAAGGAGTGGGGAGCGGATAATCCATGGACCCCATCAGTGAAACTTCTGCTACCTTTTCCCTGGACTGTAGGGGACTGGACTTGGTAGCTTACCTGATCCCTTCCCAAATCTATACTTCTGATTTCCTGAAAAGAAACCACCATAGGAAATACAATAACTTACTGTAGGACAAGCCTCTCATGACCTAAATGGATATAGAAGGATGTTTACTTCACAGAAGTTTTCCAGCACAGACATTTAATTTTGCTGTTAACTCAGCATATTAAATAACTATTTCAGAAAGGCCTGTATGTCATTAATAGGGATTACCTGGGCATCGTGGGCAGCACAGCTGGGGTACATGCACAGGGGAAGGACAGTGTAGACTTGGGCATCTTATTCTGCTGCACAGTACATTTCCATTCTGCAGGTGGAACATAATACATTGCGTTAATGAAATGGGCTGTCTTACGAATTTCCATTTTCTTTATTCTACATCTAGGTATTTTAAAAACAAATGCCTTTTTACAACATTCTGATTCCACTCACACTGGGGTAAGCCCAGACTACTTTCATTGCCTCTGAATTTATGCTGGAGGCCAGGATGTAGCAGAAATCCATAAACCTTAAAATCGGAAGAAGTGCCTAAAAATGGATTGCAACAATCTTCATTTGCATTCTCCTTTTGAGCAGATTATGCTTAGGAATTGCATTTCCAAAACTAAGACACAGATAATGATTGGTAGGTCTCTGAGATATCCCCTACTGAGGATTAGTTCAAGACCACAAGAGACAAGCACGTCTGTAATTGTTCCTGAAAACTGTGGAGAGTCTTTTGTTTTCATTTTATGGGTTCCGCAGTAGACAAAAAACACCAGTTGGTAAGTAGCCATTTTTCTAAGAAATACGAGCAAGCCTTGGGAATAGTGTTCATTATTCATGTCATTAACATAATATTCTATTTGACCACATTTAAGTTTGATTTATAATTAAAACACAGGGAATTTTCATTCTCCAGTGTCTGTAACCAGAAAGACTATCCATTTCAAATTCCCATTTCCCATCTATAATTCATCCTCCTAATTTAGCTCTGAGTGGCTCATGTTTATAGCAAGAAAGATCTTTCAGTATGAACACTGATACTACGCTATGACTGTAGTTTTAGGTGGTGTGAGGAATAAACCCACTTCATTTTCATATGCCTTCTGGAGCACTGAAATGTTTCCAGTGGCGGTGCAGACTTCCTCAGATAGCATATGTATAGGCTTTCCTAGCCATCTCTTTCAAAATAATCCATTGACTCCTGAATATCTGCAGACCACAGGCTGGAATCATACTGTTAGATCATTACTACCCACGAACTACATTTGTGCATCTGCTTTGGAAAGAGACACTAAAAATTGTATCACCATCTGTTTCCAATGATGATTGAAATGAAATATACCGATTTTATAGAGGAGGAGCAAATTTTAGGCTGTAGACTCTTCGAATGATAAGGACTATCACTGGTCTGCACGGCTCCTTGCCCAGCAGACCATCATCTGAGAGCCTGTAAAGCACTGCCGTAGAGGAAAGGCTGGCACTGCCTGCTGGCCCGGCTCCACGTTGCTTACTTGACCTGTTCCATGGCCTCACTCCCTTTTTAATTACTAGTCCTGTGTCTAGTCTCCTGAGGTGACTGTTTACTTTCTGTGCATGATCAGCCACGATAAAAATTCTGCAGGCCTACTTCACTCCTCAGTGCTGCCTGCAGTACTCCACTGTTCGCAGCAGGACAGAACTATTTTAACTGATCTTGTGCTTGGCAAGAGTGATCTTAGGCTTAGGTTCACAGTGATATTTGGGAGACCAAGCCCTGCTAACCAGAGTAGGACTTAAGCTCCTGTAGGCGTCTGTGAGTCAAGGCCACAGTTAGCATTTCTGCATCAGACACCCAAAGAGTAACCTCATCTTTCTTCCCGAGCTGTGTTATCAGTGCTAAGTGTGGAGAGCATGCATTTTAGCCCCTGAAGTCTGCAGATCTGAATACAAACACAGCAAAAAGCTGCTGTATTTTTAGAAAGTAAAATAATGATTTGACAAATTGTAAGTGCTCCAGTTTACCTGACGGTAACAGTAAACAGTCTCCACTGTGTACTGAGAGGGGGAGGAAGGAGGGGTTGTAAAAGAAAGGTGAGAACACTGAATTATGTTTAGTTTTATTCTGGTTTAAGTATGTAAATTATAACTTGTAAAAATACAATACTACATACACGCTGTGTTATCAGTGCTAAGTGTGGAGAGCATGCATTTTAGCCCCTGAAGTCTGCAGATCTGAATACAAACACAGCAAAAAGCTGCTGTATTTTTAGAAAGTAAAATAATGATTTGACAAATTGTAAGTGCTCCAGTTTACCTGACGGTAACAGTAAACAGTCTCCACTGTGTACTGAGAGGGGGAGGAAGGAGGGGTTGTAAAAGAAAGGTGAGAACACTGAATTATGTTTAGTTTTATTCTGGTTTAAGTATGTAAATTATAACTTGTAAAAATACAATACTACATACACACAAAACCAAAAAAGCTTTTTTTTTTTTTTTTTTTTTTTTTTTTTTTTTAATCCCAGGCTGAATAATTTGGCCTCTAGTTAGTTAGTTTGTCTCACCTTTTTCTTAATATCAGAAGTGTGTGTTAGAGGGGATGGATGGAGAGACTGTTGTTTAGGGATGGAGCACAGATCTTGGTCTGTTGCCTGGCAGATATGACTTGTTTTGTGCAGAGATCATACGCATCATGATGTTTGAGGCCAGCAAAGAAATTTTGGTCATGCTGGTGATGAAGTCCCCTGGGGACTTTTTCACTTTTCTCTGAAGTGTGAGGGAGTAGGTTGCTGCTTCAGGCTCTGTACATATCCTTTGCCTAACTGATTTACTGCCAGGGAATCATAGGTGGGTTTCACTTAGGTCTCTGCTATTTGCTGTCTGTGGCACACTTAAGTTTCATTTTTTATGCTGCAGTATTTGGTTTAAGGTCTGTGCTTGTGCTATGTCATGCCATGTTTTCTAATGCTTTATGTAGCCTTAATTTTGTTAAAATTAGAAACTATTGAGAGATTCCTGATAATCTGGAACTTTTACTGTAGGTCTGTGTCCTGGGGGCATTTCTTTTGGCTGGGACAAAACTCAAATTAATGGCTGGATGCTGCAGTTATTTGGAGTCTTCTTTCCAGGCCACAAGACTCCCATCCCACAGATCCCTCAGCAGCCTCGCTGCTGAAATAACCCCAAGTTATGTTTTGCACCTCACGGTACAACAAAGGTAAAACAGAGCAAACAAGGAAGTTGAGTCCAGAACCACTTCTGAGCTACATGTACTGATAATCACCTTGTTGCCCTGAACTGTCACTCTGGTATTCCATGCCCATGTGCGAAGGAAAGAAAGGAAACACACTCTGTTTGTTGGAGCCTCACAGTGCGTTGGTATGCCTGGATCAAAGCAGTGCTGTTCTCTAGAGGAGCATTCCATGCACTTTCCCATCCCTCCAGACTGTCTAACATCTTCCTAAAAATCATTGAGCAATGACTTGTATGCAGACCTCTGGGGCTTCCAGTGACTTTCATCCCCACCCAAGACACAGCATTCCAGCAATTTAATGAGTGTTTTACCACACATGGACTCTGAGGGAGTTTTCAGCTTTGCATATAGATCAGCAAAAGTGAGTAGAAACTCCTTTTTGCTATAACCAGGCACTTTTCCTTTTCTTCCTACTACATTGCTTTTCCTCTTACAGATGCATTCTGCTGCACGGACCTGAGATGCAGCCAAGCTTGTAGGACTACTGTTTTGAGCATCTCTGCACTAAACTGCAGTAGCAGATCCCTCAGAGCAAATGCTGCACAGGGGCCCAATATTTTACACCTGCAGGGGGGAAAATAGCCAAGAAAACTGTATTCTGCATTAAATACAGCAGACAAAACTCAGCATCTGGAGTGTCTCATGTGTTAGTGATTAAGATCCCTTATTGTTTAGTCATTTTAAAGTACTCCAAGGGACTTATTCTGCCCCCATTTTCCTGCCCCGCCCCCAGCTGTGTATGACATACTTAGGGGATTTGTGAGTGCTGTGTCTTCGTATCAGGCACTAACTGATGGTAGCCAAGGACCTGTCCTTTCACATCCTACCCAATTCTCTCTGCTCCCCATACCCTGTTCTCATTTTTCATCACCTCATGCTTCTTTTGCAGATTTTTACAAACGGTGCTATCCAAGCCTGTTCCTTCAGCACTTTAGGGAAGCAGATGCTTTGACTGTGGAAATGCATCTGAAGAGGTTGACATTGTACATAGATCAAAACACTACCAAATTCAGGTTCAGCATAATCACCCGTATTGATGGAACTGCAAGGGTTGTATTTAGGTAGTGGGGTCCCATTACTCAAGATGTAACGCTCAGCATTGGCAAAGCTTCTGGCTGGTTAACGAGCTGTTTTGCCTACACCACGCAAGTGTTTTTTGCCAGTATTGGCCTTCTCTGTTCATGTTTTCCCTTTGCTAGGATCACTTGCCCCTGTTTCCTGCAGCATGATCAGGACCCACTGGTGAAAAGAGGTCTGGGCTTTGTCAAATTGTAGATACAACATAACGGATTCCAGTCAATTAAGCAAGTAGAAGTCGTAGGATCAATAACTCAGCAGTCCTACCTCTGAGCAAAGGCAATTAACGCAGTAAACAAGGCCATAGGGTTCTAGATAAGGATGCCATCTTTCTCCTACACGATACTTCTTATCTTGAAACACACAGTATGTATCTGAATCTGTAAAACAGTAAAGAATTGAACGAGCTATGAATGAATATTCCCATTCCATGCTTACAAAGTGTGCAGTGTTTTCTGTAAACTATTTTTTTTTCTTTCCCTGGACAATCACACAATGGAAATGCCCTTAATTTCATGTGCTGTTGTTTCTAACCTCCCAAACCAAAATAAATGACATGGCCTCCCTTCTTTCCAAAATTGCAGCTCCTCAAATAGCTGACAAGATGGCTTTCATGCAGGGTGAGTTTATCCTTTCACCTGCAAAAACCCAGGCTAAGATCCCATTTAAGTAACAAAATTAAAGTGCTCGATTGCTCAGACAGGTTTATAGGAAACAAAACCTTTTCAGTGCAAAACCAAAGCAGTTGGCTCAACTCCAGAAAATCCCAGGTTGTACAGCAGAGAGATTTTGAACAAGGGGACTGCAGAAGGAAGATAAATGCACTGTATTTACGCTGCATGTTCAGTATCTCCGTATTTTAACAACCTAATAAAAAAGGAGTTTGTCCTAGTATTTCAGAACCATTTGTGCTGACTTACATACGCATCAGCACTGAAAATATTTTAAGAGTTTTCTGTTCATTACGCAGTTCCAATCTTGCAGATGCAGTTTTGCAGATACCCATCTACCTATCAGACATTACTGCCCTGTCTCTCCCTGCCACATTATGGTTTCACACTGAAAACTCAACTCTCTTCAATAAAAGGATGTTTCTCATGTGTTTTTTTGAGAGAAGTCCTTCCTGTTATCTTAATGATGTCCAAATTCAGCTTAATTCATCACCCTCGGCATAGATGATACTTCAGAGTAACAAACAAAATACCTGTCTTCCAAGTGATAATACAAGCAAGGGACATTCTTCACATTTACTGGGATAAAAGAAGGTAGCAAGAGGTAGGGATTATTAGTAGCAACTGTGAAGTGATCTGCTTTCGCTTCACACAAAAGCATGACAAATGAAATGCAGGATCTGAAAAAGTAGACAGCTGAAGTGGAGTTTGATAATTTCTCACAGTGCTTTCTTTGAACAGGGATACCTGCACATTGTTTTCTTGTGCATAAGTTCAGCAGAGAAGGTGGCCTTTTTGGAACTCATTCTTTTTTTCTTCTTTTTCTTTTTTTTTTTTTTTATTTTTTTTTGCATCTACCTCCTTAGAATTAGAAGCTGCTGATACTGAGGCTGAAAATTTTAACTGCTTCTCAAGGGCAAACAATGTCTTTTGTAAGAAGGTCGCCAAAACCCAGCCTGTGCAGGTGAGGAGAGCATCCCAGGGAGCTAGTAACAAGGCTGTAGCAGTCAGTAACTCCTACACTTACTTGGGTAGCTATTCCTCCTTCCCTTGCTTTCCGAAATGTGTTAACATCTCCCACGGATGACAGGCTTTGTAGAAAGATTCCCTTTGTTTTGTTTGTATTCTTTTGAAATCTTCTCATCAAGGTTTTGACAGTGCTTAGATTCTTAATTTCTCAAAGGATGTATCTAATCCAGTTCATATGAGGTTGTTTTTGGAACGCAACAGAACAGTCTTGGGCAAACTTTACACTAGCTGAAAACTTCAGCACAATAGTCTTACACATGGGACAGAATCCAGATAATCCGTCAGATGTTTACAGAGGTCACTAAATGGAATTAAGCCCTCTCTTGATTCAGGAAAATTGAAATAAAACAGATTCTAAAACTGATGTGTTATGTTCTTTATGATGCAATGAAACCTGTACAGCTTCAGGAAAATGTGCCCCAAACGTGGGTGTGACCTGATTCAACTAAATGTACGATCAGAAGGAGGAAGAACGTTAGAAGGTTTTGAATGCAGTTCTACAGCTTAGGACATTCTTGTTTGAAAAGCTTTTCTGAACCACATCTGTCAAATAGAAGGAAAACGTCAAATTTGGGTGAATGTGACAGCTTTGTTTGAAGTCTACTTACGTTTTACTTGTTCTAGTTTACCTCCATCTATGAAAAGGACACAGAGCACACCAAAAAAGATAAAATGAAAATCCTCCAATATCCACTGTTTTCTCATCTTTATCGACAAAAGGAAAATAAAGAGCCTCCGAAGTAGAGAATGTTGAGCTGTTGGGAAGAAAAGATTAATTAAACTAAAATCCTGTAAGATACTTAAATTCTCAGACATGATTTCATCCAGCACACAGAAATTCTAAACTGCCAGAACCAAAAAATTGGTCTATATCATGGATCTTCATTTCATGGAAACATCCTTGGCTTCAGATCATTTCATTCTTGGAAAGGGGACGCATTCCCATTCACGAAAGCCGAAAACAATATTACTTCTAATAAAGTCCTTATTTTATTCCAAAGCAGAGAAATCTGGCAAGTAAGCAACCTAAATTCTTCACAAGTAACTAGTTTGGGAGATTTTCTTGTAGAGCAGCTCTTTTGGATGTACCTCAGGAAATACAGGTGTCAGTTGTAACACATTTGCTTTGTTGTACAATTAACCTTGGGTATAGCTGGTGTACTGGCCTTGCAGGACGAAAATCCACGCTTAGGGTGAAATGCTGGCTGTGCTGCGGTCAGTGGGAGCTTTCCTCACCGCATCGAACAGGCGTCCACCACTATTCAATTCACCCCTCCTCCCCTCTCCCAACGACTATTGTTCTGGGATTGTGTATAATTAATTTTTCTAGAGTTAACCCTTCCGTTGCTTTGATATCTGAAAGGAGAAAGGGGGAATGACATGTCATCTTCCTTCTTGTAGGTCTTTAACGGCAAAATCTTGCATATGGAGCAAAGCCTAGTGTACTCTTCTCTGTGTGCTGCAGAGATGGTATCGTACTTGCCACACGCGCCGTTCTGTTTATCTTTTTCTGGCTTTTAAAAGGTGACTTATTTTATAATGAAAAAAACCAAGGGAGAAAATAGCTAACTAAACTAGAATTTATTTGTCTTTGATAGCCAGCCTAGGATTCTAAATTGAGAAATATGTTGATGCTTTACTGTTTATCAGAATTCACTGCAAAAGTATTCTCTTCCCAGAGTACACTTGTCCATAATTTACAATGGTGGAAAGATTTGGGTTTGATTTTAAGAGTTTTGATGTAGATTCACAATTAGTTTTACAAAAGTTCAAAAAAAAATAATTCACTATTGGAAAAATAAACAATCTGCTTTGTAAACTAATTTGACCTTCTTCAGATTCCATGTAAATAATAGAACTGTACATAAATATGTTTCAGCTCACAGGTAACCAAAGCAGAAACAATAATTTAGAGATGTACATTCAAAATTAAGTGGTGGATAACTTAGAGAAATTAACTAAACAGTAAGTTAACAACCACTTAAAAAGAAAATCTTCCTATTAAGACTGTTGAGATCTAGGATACTGCAACAACGGGTGGGTGAGCTGATTTTATCAGTGGTTTTATTGCCTTTACTATTTAAGGGTTCTCTGCTCTACATTCCCAAACCACAACCAAAATGGACATCGTCCTTAACTAATCACATCCATGCAACTACTCTGTCTACACTCAGTAAGCTCATTCAAAGTAACGCAAATTGCATCTGAAAGCATTCAAAAAAATATCGCTATTTTAAAAGCACACTCCCCTATGCAGTAACAAAATAAAACTTTCCATTTGTTTTGGAAGCTGAGAACAATATTCCAATTTCAGAAGAAAAGTGTAAGGTCATTTTTTCCTTTCAACGTACTGAAATCACACAGGACATTTTAAAGCCAAACAACCTTTTAAAAAACTTGTTTAAAATTAAAACCTCGTAACTTAGTCCCAGGACATCACGCATGCATTGAGAACAGCAGTAGCACATCACTGGGACTAGCAGAAATGTGAAGGTTTAAATATTTTGGCCTTCTTGGGGGCTGCTTAAGCAAACAATATTCATAAACGGAACACAATTATCCTCTGTGCAGCGCTTTACCTGTTAGCTAGATTGGTTACTTCGAATAGAAAGGCTCAGAAATCCATCTGCTTTAAATGTCACATCTTCAAAAGGAAGAGCATTTTAAAACTTGGACTGCTTACGCTCAGAAATGCTGCACGGTAACGTGAAATGGAGGAGTTAATAAGAGGAATGGGATGGGGACTTTTGATGTCTTTCTTAATTCTCTTTAATTTCTGTATTGTTGTTACTCCAAATATAAACACATACTTTTCACTATTAGCACACTCCCTTTATTTCCCCAAAGGGCAACGTCCTAAAAACGTTCCTGGATTTAAATAATCTCAGTTAGGATTAACCTGTTAATTATTGGTGTGTTTTCTGCTTAGCAGAAACTATGAAAGTCACCCATTTCTCCCAGGAATCACTCGCTGAAAGCAGGCACATGGGTCTATTTTTAACGCCTCGCCCCCCAAGCAGCCCGGTTTAGTAACTGCAAGTGGCAGAGTCCGGCCTCGCCACGTTTTACGATTAATGTAAAA